GACTATTCCAAAATAAATCGCATGCTGGGATAACATTCAACTTCCAGTCTAACTATATTTATGGAATGAAGATAGGAATTCTCCCAAGTATCCTCATCATAAGTCTACGACCCATTAATTCAGAGTTCTGGGAAGAGGCACTAGATAAACTAACTCAAATATGTCTTGGAAACGCAATACAACGCAACGTACGGGTCGTGATGAGCAAATGGAAAGACGGGGATTATGAAAGGAAAGAAAAGGAAAAAGAGGAAAAACGAGAGATATGTCTACCTTCCAGCGAATTGTCTCGGAAGTTGCGGCCGATGCTTTGCGAACAATCCTGAAGGAAAAGACAACTCTATTCACCAGCTTGCCTAACCAACATGAAAATGTCAACAAAATGGAGTGCTCCAGAGTTTATGGCATAAGCTTCACGGACTGTAAACCAAAATGCATCGGAGAGACGAGAAGGACAATCAGCACAAGGAGCAAACAACACTGGCGACTATGTAGGGAAATGGATACGGAAAGCTTGGAGGTAGCCGAGCACATCGCCCTTACCGGCCACACAATTGGCTGGAATACAACGGAAAGACTGGCCTCATATGAGGAGAACACCAGGAAACGGAAGATCAGGCAGTCTGTGGGCATCCTCTTCCAAAGAGAATTAAGGAACAGGGAATTGAAAGAGGGAAGAGTCAACGATAATTTAGCGTGCTGCCTTGACAGACTTGGAGATTCGGTGAAGACATCAAGAAGAAAACGTTCGGAGCCAGGACAACTATTCAACAACAGAAAGAGACATCGCCACAAAGCTGGTCATGAGAGACAAAGGGAAGTCAAGAAAAGACGATTGCAGTTAGAAAAGTCCAACCTCAAGACAGGTCACCAGCGTGCCTGTGTACACTTTTCGTTTGTGTGTCTTAATGGGAGATGTCTGGTGACATGCCTGACAATGGAGGATACCAATCAACACACACGTGAACAACACCATAGTGACCTAGGATTAGAATTGAGTGTCAACTTGAGAGATGAGAGGCGTGTGCTTTTCGCGATTGAGGAGGGGGAAAATGGAAAAGGTGCATCTTCACACCAACCGGACCAAAGACTGAGATGCAATGAAGCTGGAGATGAGAATGAGGGTCATGTGTTTGAAGCCGAGGGAGTGGAAGACTCCAAGGCATTGACACGAAAATAGGCATGAGCATGAGCTGCTCTAAATTCTCAAATATGGCGTAAACAGGGACGGCAATCGAAGTCTCTTAGACAGCCAGATTTCAGACGTTTAGCAGTGACCAATTGTCAAGCGGGGTAGGAGAAAGGGGGGGCAGAATGTAGGTCTCGAACCCTGCAGGCGGCATCTGGTACTGGCGGTGGATATGATTACGCTTCCCTAAACCCACTTGCAGCGAGGCAATCTTAGGCGATATTGGAGTAAACGGGAGTAATGAATTGTGTGAGTAGGCAGATGAGCCATATGAAATGGGGTTGAAGGAAAGAGAGGCGGTACTAAAAGTTAGGCGGGTTTTGGGTCGTGAAGGCGGAGGCTGTTCTCCCTTGTAATGAAGTAGGATTGATCTACTCATTTCCAGAGGCAGTGATCCCTTTAGATCTGCCTCTTCTACCTCATGACTGAAGAGAAACACCACTGCCATTAACACTTGCTGAAAGTTTTGTGGAAGAGGATTCGTTTCTTTCCAGCGGGACAACGATCTTAAACATGCGTCCAAGCTGTACCAGGTATGTTTGAAGCCAAAGGAAAATCAAAGAGTACTGACCTACATAGCTTTCTCTCCTCCACAGTTACCATTCCTCAACCCAATTGAGATCACCTTTGAAACATATTGGAACATCACAAGACGCTCTTTGGGCTTGTCTAAGAGTGTGTTGGAATAATGTGGATTCTTAAATTTCACAAAAACCGGTAGAATATATGCCAGAGAGTGTGCAAGCGCGAATTAAGGCTAAAGCTGGTCAGACCATATATCAAGACATTTTGGCTGTCAGTAACTAAAAGCAAATATTATTAAACTTACGTTAATTGACTTGCATGTTAGTGAAAAATTATGTATAATAAGATGTTTTCACCCTATTTCTTTTAAGGTGATGAAGCGCTGGCAGTTGAATTTTCATACAATTATATGAATAGGCCTTGGATTTCTGTTGAATTTCACATAACCTTGTCATTCTCATGAGAATACTTTTGGAAAATAAGGCTATGTGAAATTCAATGGAAACGTAAGACGTACTCCTATGATTGTATGAAGATTCAACTACCAAATCAAACTACAGCAAGGTCTACTCATATGCTTTTGGGAAAATTCAACTACCAGTCTCAGGCAAAGATTTTCTCTTGAATTATTAGGTCTTAAGGATCAGAACAAGAGATTTAATCTTTTGACAAGTCTGATTTAAGAAACCGCATATAGACGCAAATAAACACGCAAATATGCATTCTCATACATTCAAGCAAAAATAATAGAACGAACATGAAAGAAAATTCCATATAGACTCAAATAAACACGCAAATATGCATTCTCATACAATCAAGCAAAAATAATAGAACAAACATGAACTATTAGGTCTTAAGGATCAGAACAGGAGATTTAATCTTTGACAAGTCTGATTTAGGAACCGTATTGCATATTTAGGTCTTAAGGATCAGAACAAGAGATTTAATCTTTGACAAGTCTGATTTAGGAACCGTATTGCATATAAGTCTTAAGGATCAGTAGAAGAGATTTAATCTTTGACAAGTCTGATTTAAGAACCGTATTGCATATAGACGGCTAATAACAAATATGCATTCTCATACAATCATGCAAAAATAATAGAACGAACATGAAAGAAAATTAACCAAACCACTCTATTTCGATCTGTCTAGATTTGTAATTAATCATATGAAAGACAATTAACCAAACCACTCTATATCGATCTGTCTAGATTTGTAATTTTTAATCTATTGACTCGACTGAGTGTATATAAGTATAAGATGAAGCCGGATAGAGTGTTTTTGGTTTAGTATTAATGTGAGACTCTTACAAGAATGAAACCCAGGCATCATATGATGGACGAAAGGTCAGCACGTTTTCACCCGAAACGAGGGAGGAATACTCGTCGACTGCGTCAACATG